TCAATAACACGGTCAATTTCCGTGCTTGATCCAAGGAATTGGATATAGCCTTCCCTTCCATGGATCTAACCTGATTATCTCCCATTCCTTAGGTAATGTATGACCCATACGAGTTTTGCCTTTAGTGCATATTTATGCATAGGGGTGTTGGTCTGAGATTTTCCAAGGTAAGTCTTTTCTAGACATGCAAAGGTTTGAAAAGTGACGTTGTATCTCGTGTTCAGGCGGATTATAGCTGTCTAACTTTCCTATATTTTAACTCATGATTTCTAAGTTCATCTGTAGTTTCTTGGCACATATTATACCTAAAATGAAATGGCGAGTGTTTCATTGTTTTGTAATGTTTGTATAAATTAATTACTAATTACAAACGGAACTACGTTCTCCACGTTTCTTTAATGTGAGTTATCTTAAAAAAATATTAATAATTTTTAAAAGGACTGATCGGTAAGCCAGCTGAAGGCCTCGGTCAGATGACCAAAAGCTCCAGTGGCGGGTCATCACAGGAGTAACACCCACGTCAGGAAACACGTGTCCTGGTTCTTCGACGAATCTTGCCTAACCTAACTTTTAAAAAGAGCTGTGTGTCAGCCAGTGTGTGTGGATCTGTGGATTTCGTGTTTTTTCATAAATATTCATGTGTGATATCCATGCACAATGAACACTTGCTAGGATTTTTTTCTTTCATGAACCACATTGCTCCATAAAATATATATTCGTGTAATATACAATAATATGTATATTTTGTTGTTACTGATTACAAACAAATTAATAATATTAAAAATATATCATTATAAAAATAAAAATAGAACGATGATAAACATTCATGAAAGTAGGAAAATAAACGTGAGTGAGTTATCGTAATGAGGCAGCTGCCGAGCGCAGCCTCGCTACTGAACCTCCTCACAGCTGCCTTCCCAGAAGGACCTTTGATACTGGAGAAGGGTTCTTGATTCAAGGAAGTGTAGCTAATCCCCTTCTTCGAATCATGTTTAATTGCCTCCTTTTTCGTCAGCACCTGTGTCACCTCTTCTGTTTCAGCGCTTCACTGGGAATATAGTGATAATACTCTCTCGCTTCTGATTCTCACATTCTAAGTCTTATATTAGTTGTCAATAGAGCAGTGTTTGTAGAGTGTAACACTGACACGTGTGGAGACAAAGACACAGGTGTGGAGACAAAGACACAGGTGTGGAGACAAAGACACAGGTGTGGAGACAAAGACACAGGTGTGGAGACAAAGACACAGGTGTGGAGACAAAGACACAGGTGTGGAGACAAAGACACAGGTGTGGAGACAAAGACACAGGTGTGGAGACAAAGACACAGGTGTGGAGACAAAGACACAGGTGTGGAGACAAAGACACAGGTGGAGACAAAGACACAGGTGTGGAGACAAAGACACAGGTGTGGAGACAAGACACAGGTGTGGAGACAAAGACACAGGTGTGGAGACAAAGACACAGGTGTGGAGACAAAGACACAGGTGTGGAGACAAAGACACAGGTGTGGAGACAAAGACACAGGTGTGGAGACAAAGACACAGGTATGGAGACAAAGACACAGGTGTGGAGACAAAGACACAGGTGTGGAGACAAAGACACAGGTGTGGAGACAAAGACACAGGTGTGGAGACAAAGACACAGGTGTGGAGACAAAGACACAGGTTGGAGACAAAGACACAGGTGTGGAGACAAAAACAGTGTGGAGACAAAGACAAGGTTGGGAGACAAAGACACAGGTGTGAGACAAAGACACAGGTGTGGAGACAAAGACACAGTGTGGAGAAAAGAACAAGGTGTTTGGGGACAAAAACACGTGTGGAGACAAAGACACATGTTGGAGACAAAGACACAGGTGTGGAGACAAAACACAGGTGTGGAGACAAAGACAGGTGTGGAGACAAAACACAGGTGTGGAACAAAGACACAGGTGTGGAGACAAAGACACAGGTATGGAGACAAAGACACAGGTATGGAGACAAAGACACAGGTATGGAGACAAAGACACAGGTATGGAGACAAAGACACAGGTATGGAGACAAAGACACAGGTATGGAGACAAAGACACAGGTATGAGACAAAAGACCACGGTATGGAGACAAAGGACAAAAGGTATTGGAGACAAAAAGGTATGGAGACAAGACCAGGTATGGAGACAAAGACACAGGTATGGAGACAAAGACACAGGTATGGAGACAAAGACACAGGTATGGGGACAAAAGCATGCTGACAAAGACAAGTATGGGGACAAAAGCATGCTGACAAAGACACAAGTATGCAGACCAAATATTAAAAAGAAAATATTTCGCTGTCTGTAGAGTTTTTATCAAACATGAATAAGCTCTATTTAGAGTGCACAGTGTTGTGAAAATCAAGATTTTTTCTGCGTACTTGTGTTTTTGTCTATATAACATAGATTACACAGTTACTGGTCCACGTAACTAGAGCTGGCGATGTTACAGTGACTAGACACTATGTTACAGTGACTAGACACTATGTTACAGTGACTAGACACTATGTTACAGTGACTAGACACTATGTTACAGTGACTAGACACTATGTTACAGTGACTAGACACTATGTTACAGTGACTAGACACTATGTTACAGTGACTAGACACTGTTACAGTGACTAGACACTATGTTACAGGAAAACCTTATTGCGACGTATAGTTCAGGACTGAACTTTTTTTATTATACAAAAACGCACAAACGAAGACCTTGAGATCATGCTGATCATGCTGGTCATGCTGGTCATGCTCGGGAAAGGTTAATTAGCTGGTTAATTACTTTTAAAGCCTATCGACTACACGACGGTTAAGGCTGCATATAATCTGTATCACCAGTCAAGAATACGTGAATCCCTAAAATGGGGAATACACACCGAGAGATGTGTATCTGATAAAGTTCACTCCTGAACGAAACACTGTAATAAGAAAACTGTATTAACATCCTTGATCCAAGAGTATTCAACATCTTACCAGAAAATATCAGAAACACCGCTGGAACAAGTGTAGAAGTCTTCATGTGGAAACTAGATAATTACCTTCACCAAGTGACGGATAAATGCAAATTATGATGGATACGTGAGCCAGCGAGCCGCCAGAAGCAACAGCCTGGATGACTAGATATGCACCATACAAACTTAGCCCAGGGTAGGGCTCCGGGATCAGAAAAACTCTCGGACCTTAATAATGATACATCAGAGGTAAGGTAAGGGTATATAGTTTCCTATAACATGAAATCTTTCTCATCCCCTGTCATCGTACCAGCTACTGGAATATATTCTAATGAGTTTATTCTAATTGGTTTGTATGTATGTCCGTTTAGAGGGGTGTGTATCTCAGTATACATACACTTGAGAGTTTGGTTTAATCAGTATACAAGGGATTATGGTATTATTGATTGTTGATGTACAGGTGACATGGAGCTGTATGTTCCTCTGTGTAGTCGAATTATTTTTAACCTATTAAATCAACTATTCATTGACGATAGGTAGTTAAAAAAAAAGATACTAAGAATACTCTAAGCACTTGACGTATTCAGCACGTCACAAGTACTCCCTCTCGTGCCAACCTGGAGCGTTGCCACAACAGTGAAGTTTATGCAATTTAAAATGGATATCTCAGCCATTGTGTAAACCATTCAGATAATGCGAGATAAATTATATTAAAAGCTTAAACACATCTGCCATAGATAGAAAAATTATCTCGTGTAACTCGTGAATTTGTTGATATTATAAGCCAGTACGTATGCTGAGCCTCCACTCGGTGATGTAGGTCACCTTCAGCGAATATATACAATACGTTTAATACTTCATCGTACCATGCAATCAGTATAACACTGACAACAGTATTGTAAATGAAGACATGTCTTCATGCTTCAGTTCCAATAGCGTGCAATACTGTCACTTCAAAGCGGAATTGGAAGATTTACTCAATTTATCTAGTGGGATTTACAGCATGTGGATCATTAAGACAACAGTCACACAGTGTTTGGCTATTTTAATGTGGCAATTCATGGTTATGGAGTGGCGCTAAGAGTCATAGTTAAACATCTCGCTTTTGAACTTTCTTTACACACCAAAAACAAATTGTTAACTGACTATATTACAGAAAAGTAACTTGCTCTGTTCAAAATCATATGTGGAGAAAGCTAGAGTCTGTAATACCAGAGAATTTAAGACCAGAGAAAGTAAGACCACAGAAAGTAAGGCCACGGAAGGTATGACCAAAGAAAGTAAGACCACAGAAGGTAAGACCAGAGAAAGTAAGATCAGGGAAAGTAAGACCACAGAAAGTATGATCAGAGAAACTAAGATCAGAGAAAGTGAGTCCAGAAAACGAAAGCAGGGAAGGTAAGACCTGGAATATTAAGACTAGGGAAGGTAAGACCAGGGAATGTAAATCTCCGGTGTTTTCTCCTATGTGGGACGGAGTGTTGCTTATAGGAAGGCAGTGTTAAGTGACGTACACACAATTCCGTGTAGTGTTGCATGACCAGAGGTCCTCTTTGCGTGTGCTCCGCTATTAGAGAATACATTCACCCCAATCATTACGTGATGAAAATTCTGAAGTAGCCACAATTTTGCATGGGCGACTTGTCTAGTGAGGCACTGCAATGAAACATATTACATATGAATGTGATTTCAACTGTCATTTCTGGGAGATTCAGATGGTGTACTGCTGAAAATAGTAAACAAAACGCATGCATTGCAGAAAAAGCTTTAACTGGAATGTTTCGCTCAGTGTAGAGGTTTATCGTGTAATGACTATCAGATTTATGACTTGCTTAAGCTCTTCGCAGAGCGAAAAGTTGTTCTGAAAATACCTTTACTGCAAGTTGTGTCTTTTAATCACTGTTACTTGTACAAAACGTAATTTGTCACTGTATGCTACCGTGCATGAACTACATATCAAAATGATACAGCGTAACACGAACATTCTTGTTGATCAACATAGTAAATTCCCTCGCCAGGCGCGGACTACACTGGCCACAGTGCACCATGCCAAGCCAGTCAGCACTCAGCACCAGGAGGGAAAGGATTAACGCTGCCTCACTCTTACAAGAAACAATGGGAGTGTAGATTATTTTGTTTATCCCTATTTTTTTGAAACGAGATCACATTGGAATTATAGTTAGCATCTTATCTTAAGTGGAAAGTGAAGGAAGTTTACTGACGTGAGTGATCATTCAGCGTTAAGGGCAACAGTGAGAGACAGCTCGTGATATTTACTGTTACTGGAAGCTCGAGAAGTATCAACATGCATGACCGTAACCTTACTGGTGAGTGATTTCTGACCTTTAGTATTGGATATCCTTGGTATGTGGGGTGTTCTGGGTATTCTCGCACGAGGGGTAACTTAGATATCCCTATAAACACATCGCCTGGCGTATCTCGGTACTGAGAATACTCGCAGTACAAGGAATAACCGAAGTAAATTCAGTACAAGAGGTACAAGAATTAAGCAAGAGAAGAATTCTTCGCTTGCCTAATTCTTGGGCACGACCTACTTCCACACTGAACAAATGTGACACCACCTTTGACTGCTGCACCTCTCCTGCCAACGGTTTATAAGCTCCTTCTCCGCACGTATGCCGTATTCTATTCAAGATTGATGGACTGACCACATCGACTCAAGGTTGAGGGACTGATTACCTCATTCTCGTCCTGTTCTTCAAGATTCTCCTTTGTATGGACTGATGAAGCCACTATGTGCCAAAACGTTTCCTCAATAAAGATACCCAAGAGTTGCACATGTGTCTAATTTATCAACATGTCGGTTCTCTGAACCATTCATTTACAAGTACAAGAGGTAACTCGAGTATCCTCCTCGGTACGAAATATGACTTGGGCAATCTCAAATATAAGTGATAATTCGGGTATCCCCCGGTACAAGGGAAAACTTGAGTGTTTGCCACCACGATAGGTAACGGGATTCCCGGTGAGAAGAATGACATTGGTCTCTAAGGTACGAGTGATAACTTGAGTATCCCCAGGTAAAAGTGATAACGTGGATAGCCCCTTGTACGAGGAATAGTTTGAGCATTCCCTGTTAAGAGTGATAACTTGAATAACCCCCAGTATGAGGGATACCTTATGGCATTAAGTTTTTTTTTTTTCCTGGTTACATAAACATTTCCGGAGTTAAGAGCGCCTCTTGACCATGCGGAATACCAGTGTAGTGTCACTCCGAGGCGCGTGTCTTGATGCTATTGAAGGAATTTTAAAACAAAGAATTGGAGCTAAATTTCCATTCACAGGATCGAAACTGATAAGAATGCATACCATCCTGAACGTTCAATGTACCAGTTTTCTCTCCTTAATATTAACAATCATGCACTTCATTAGTGCTCGTAATTCAATTCAATATGGATGTTCTGGAAATAAATGGCATAAAATACCGACACTGGAAATATAAACACATAAGCAGTACAATGTGATCCTTTATTGACGTTTCACCCACACAGTGGACTTTATCAATCACAAACAGATCTGTTTATGACTTGATAAAACCCACTGCGTGGGCGAAACGTCAGTAAAGGATCACATTGTACTACTTATGTGTTTATATTTCCATGGATGTTCTGCAAAAAAAGAAAACAAAACAAATCCACTTGATTCACCGAAAATGACACTGTGATCGACAGAACCCAGCAAGAACCACAACACACAAGCGTTATATTATTAACACAAAAAAATATACCTTATTAACACAAGACAGCATAACCCTAAACTTCTCAAGCAAGTATGGAAGGCGCTTGAGTGCTTTTCTTGACTGCCTTCACTGCACGATCCTTTTAAGATAATTATATACATTGAGCTGCAGAGTGAAAATTCACAACCTGTATACATACTTCTCTGCATGATAAATTTACTTAATTCTCTCACAGTCTCATTTGTGACAACCTTCTTTCTCGCTCACTTTTAGTACCGACATCATTTATTCTCCAGGTTTAATAGTGAAATACGTAATTTATACACAGTACTGGGATCCTGCATTCTCACACTAGCTCTAGTAGTGACATCTGTCATTCATGTTCCTCTTCAGCAATGACATCCTTCATTCTCACACAGCTCTAGCAGTGACTTCTTCCATCACACCAGCTCTAGTAGGGACATCCTTCATTTTCATACCAACATAGGTAGTGACATCCTTTAGTCTCGCACAGTTGCCTAAGTAGTGACATCCTCCATTTTTACACAGCTTCACTAGTGACGTCTTACATCCTCACATCAACTCTATTATAGTAGATATACTTCACTTTCATACGAACATAGCTAGTAACATCAATCTCAAAGCTCAAATGGTTCTCACTCAACTTCCAATCGTGACATCATGCTGTCTAGTGACTGCCAGCTGTGTTTGCTCAGTAAGTAAACCTGACATTGCGTGTCTCAGACAGATAGGATTAAAATACTGAAGTGTCTTAGGAGTCTGGGAGTCTGGGGGTAGTAATGTCTGAGGATCTCACTTTCAAGGATCACAACAGTGCCACGATCGCACGTGCAAAGAAAATGATAGGATGGATAATGAGAACTTTCAAAACGAGAGATGCCAAGCCCATGATGATCCTTTTCAAATCACTTGTTCTCTCTAGGCTGGAATACTGCTGTACATTAACATCTCCATACAAAGCAGGTGAAATCGCAGATCTAGGGAGTGTACAGAGATCCTTTACTGCACGTATAAGTTCTGTCAAGCACCTTAACTACTGGGAACGCTTGGAAGCACTTGACTTGTACCGTTGGAACGCAGGAGGGGAGAGATAATCATAATCTACACTTGGAAAATTTTTGGTGGGGAGGGCCTTTGCCAGGGGAAATTTTTCCCCCACCCCGAATAAGCCTGAAGCTAAAATCCCCCCATTAAAAAGGTAAAAAAAACAGAAAGGAAATAAAGAGAAATACTCATCACAAAAAAAGGCGGAGGCCACAAAAATGTCACCCATCAGACACTGGGAATTCCAAAACCCCCTCCTCACCCCGGCTCAGTTAAAGGTTGTGCCTGGTCCCGGGTCTGGCCCGTCTTAGCTTTTGGGGCCGGTCAGCCTATTGACGGCCCGTCAAGCCTGTTTCAGGCCGACGGGGGGCGTCAACCCCGGAAAATCCTCCAGGGTAACCAGGGTAACTCCCTCGTTTTACTCTCCCCTCATTAGCTGGCAGGCTGTCAAGGTGAAGGAGAATTTCTTTCATAAGTTCAGGCCTGAATTTTCCGGGGAACTGATACAAGTATTCTCAGAAAGATTTGTGGTTTTAATCACGGCTTTTCAAAAGAGAAAGTACATTAGTTTGTATATTGGTTGTATTATGGTGGAGAGTAAAGTTTTGATCCAGGCCGTCCTGTGGGGCCTGGGCATGGCCGGCGCGCTGCCCCTCCTCCCTACCTCCTCTCCTCTCTCCTTAAAGTAAAAAGTTAAAAAAATTTAAAAGTTTAAATTTTACATATTATATTAATTAATGTAATTGAATGGGAACATAAATCATTTTTTGTAGAGTTAATTTTTTATAAATGTTTTTTTTTTTTTTTTGGGCGCTGGGGTTCCCTGGCTTTTTTCCCAAAGGTGTTAAAAAAACTTTTACCAAAAAGAAATTTGACTGGTTAAAATTCCATGAATATTTGTTGTATAACCATATTTCTTCCCCCTTGAGATTACACGAAAACTTTTTTGGGGGGAATAGCTTGTCCGACTGAAAAAAATGTTCAAGGAAGGCGTAAACCTAAACGTTTAGTGTCAAGCTGAAGTACAAAAATATACTCTGCACTCTGAGTCTGAGTATTTCTTTTTCATCCATTAGGGGAATGTATATTCTTAACGATGCAACAAGCGAGCCACGGTACTCCTCTTCCATGTATTAGAGAAGAAATGAGAATACATGAACAGAGGAACGTTGCAGTTCTGCTATCCCACGCTAAGTAGGTATGCACATTCGGTCAGTACCACGTACGTGTTACTCTCACAAGAACGTAAGAGGAGCACAGTGCTTAACATGCCAGCCGTTTTTGTCCTCACGCCTAACCATACCCATTGAGATATATTTGTTTAACCAATTTTTTAAATATACCCAACGAATGCTCTTCGATGATTCTACTTGTAAGTTATTCCATTCATCAACATCCTTAGTAAAAAAAAAACAGTATTTTTTATATTTAAATAAAAATTTGCTTTTTTTAATTTATCAGAGTTCTTGTTGGCCAGATTTTCCTTCAGTGTTATTATTTCACTTTTGGTGTATACATTTGCTTTCTACATTTTTTGTTGTATTCTCCCTCGTGTACGCCTTTCAAAGAAAGCATAAGATTAGCATTCATAATATCTCTTCTTAGGAAAGATTCTCAATATAGGCATTTCAATCTGTGATACTTCTCTGACTTTTCCAGCATATATATGTTTATTCTTCAAAACAGAGATCATAATGTAAATGGGGTCCCAGGAGCTATAAAGATGAGTTACCAAGGGGTCTCTAGTTTTCTTTGTATAAGGTCAGGAAATCAGTTAACTTCATCGCGGATATTTATTTTTGTATAATCAACGAACTGACCTGGTCGGAATTCTCTCCTGTAGATTGTTTACACACACTGTAAACAACCCAAGGCTCAACACAAGCATCTAGAACGCTATCTGTGGATATTCCCAAAATAACTATCTCATTTAAACAATGTTGCTTGTCGGCCATGTTGTTATTCCATCACGGAGAAAAATATTCACAGAGGTGTGTGTGTGTGGGGGGGGGGGTTGGTGTGTGTGTGTGGGGGGGGGGGGGGGGGTTGTGTGTGTGGGGTGTGTGTGTGTGTGTGGTGTGTGTGTGTGTGTGTGTGTGTGTGGTGGTGTGTGGGGTGTTGTGTACTTACCTAATTGTGGTCACCTAATTGTGATTTCAGGGGTCGAGATTCAGCTTCTGGCCCTCCTCTTCACTGGTCGCTACTAGGTCCTCTCTCTCCCTGCTCCATGAGCTTTATCATACCTCGTCTTAAAGCTGTGTATGGTTCCTGCCTCCACTACATCACTTGCTAGACTATTCCACTTCCTGACAACTCTATGACTGAAGAAATACTTCCTAACATCCCTTTGACTCACCTGAGTCTTCAACTTCAACCCCTTGTTTCTGTGTCCCATCGCTGGAACATCCTGTCTCTGTCCACCTTATCTATTCCACTTAGTATTTTGTATGTCGTTATCATGTCTCCCCTAACCCTCCTGTCCTCCAGTGCAGTGTCGACAGGCCGATTTCCCTTAACCTTTCTTCGTAGGACATTCCTCTTAGCTCTGGAACTAGCCTTGTT